AAATTCGGTGCCTCTTTTACTACCTTTTCAGCATACGTGGTTTTTTGGACCACGTTTAAAAGCACTTCTGTCCCTGTTATGTAAACTTTCTTTAAAGGGAGGGAGATGTAATTGTCTGGCACATCTCGGGGTGGGCAGGCAAAGCCCGAGGTCTCGTCTGCTCAGGAAGCTGCTGCTGTTGAGGAGTGTGTGGAGTCGCAAGCTAATGCCTGCACCAGTACATCTCCCCATCTGGAGGTAGTCCTGCTCTGGAATAGAAGTGCCTTATACTGGTTTTAATCAAACCCAGTTGTAGTTGGGCATTTTTTAAATGGGAAGACTGGGCTTGAATGCTCCTTTTTCTTAACTGCCATCGCTGTCAGTCATCACTCCCACAAATGAAGAGTCTTGATGGATGGTGTGAGATCTGCTAGTTGTTTTTAGCATAAGAGTAGTGTAAATCTCTTGCCAATTATTTAGACTCATCTGGTCTAACTTTACATGGAAACGTTTTAGGAGTCCTTACTGTCTAAACTGTCTAACAGTTTAAAAAGAAATAAAAGCAAGAAGCCCCAAGCAGCTAGAGAAGGTAATTTTTAACCAGTTTTTGCTCTGTTTGTAAGATGTTTTGACCAGCTCTTTCCCCCACAAACATGCTTCTTGAATGCAGATTAAGCAAACAGGAACAAAGTGTTCTTGCTCGGGATTAAAAGTGGATGCATGTGAGGGCTATTCGCAGTTAAGTCCATGTATAGATAAGAGCGAGCGCTTCTGGGGCTGGCGAGTGCTGTCTGTGCGAAGGGTTGGTCCCCCAGAGACAGGCTCTTCCCTCCCCAGGAGCTGCGGGGCTGATGTTCGCCGCCGACCGGCTCGCTGGTGTGCGCTGGCGAGGGACCTGCGCTGGCCGGCAGCTGGTCACTGAGACACCGTCAGGTGCCTGCTCCGGCATCCCCAGTGCTCGGCACGCTCAGCTGGGGAGGTTCATGCTTCCCAGGAGAGGCAGGAGGCTCGTCGTGCTTTGGTCAAGCATATGTGGAAATCTGTTTCTTGAATCAGATTTTTATCGGGCCAGATATTTTTTTATTCAATGGTATATTTTGCCTCAAAATCTGTTTACAGTTGAAGTAGACCACCTGGCTTAGCGACTAATTTTGACAAATTATTCAAAATATTCTTAGTGTCCCACATTTTCCTGTTCAGATACACAAGTAGAAGGAAATACCTGTATTTCTGTGATAACGTGCAGTTTCAGGCCCTGCAGTCTGTGACGCTGTGTTTCATCTCCCAGCTCGGTGACAGAGCAGATGCTGCCGGTACCGACCCTTCTCCAGATGTCAGTATTTGCATTGCCGTTGTGCAAAAGGAAAGCTTTCGCCCTTCTCTTTGTTTCAGTTTCAAGTTAGCAGCCAGGCACATAAGTAACTTTTCTTTTCCTTTGGCAAGTGAGTTCATACAGAAATGGGGGGCCAAAGCAACTGCAGAACTGCGTTCCTTGTCCAGGGTGTGGATAAAAACTGGGGGCAAAAAGTGCCATTGGGTAATTCTCAGAATTTCAGTAAAGGGTTGACTTTGCAGTCCCCTGGGACTTGGAGGTGCAGGTGAGTGGGTGCCAGCGATGCTCAGGTACGTACAGTGTAAGCAGAGGAGGATGGCACCTGCGTAATAGCAATTGCTTAATGCCGTGAATTTGGGGAAGTTTGAATGTTTTACATCTCTGGTTTTTCTAACCTGTAGTAGATGATTTTCTAAATGTAAGCACCAGCCCTATGAAAATAGTCAGCGAGCCAAAGGTTGCCCGTTACCTGAAGGCAGATCCCTCACGTGCTTTCTGGTACAACCCTTTCACACAGTGTGCGAGTTCCTTTTTTTAGCCTCTCTGCCTTACTTCCAGCCCCAGCCTTTCCCCAGCAGTTCCCAGTCCCAGCCCTGAGCTCAGAGCTGAACCGCTGCCAGCCCAACGTGACTTCTCTTCCTGTAAGAGAGACAAAAGAAAACGACCTTCTGCTTCCTCTCCCTGTCTGCCCAGCGGATTCCAGCGCCGATGTAGGAGTTGCTCCTTGTTGCAAACCCTCACATGATGTTGCAGTCATCAGTATTACCAAAAGACCCGGGTTTGCATGAAAACAGCCGCACAGATGCTGCAGTCACATGGAGATACTGGCCTTTTCTTTTAGGGTAATTACTTTGGTGGTTGAAACAAGTGCAAAAGTAGTCATCGGGCTGATCAAAATGTGTCCTCATCCGCATTTGGAAGCAAGCCTCTTCGGTTTTGCTTGCCTGCAGCTGACTTAGGGAGGGAGGAGGAGCCCCCAGCTCTGCTGACCTATTGTGCGTTTCTCCTGAGCATCATTTTTGCCCTCTGTAGCTACATCAGTAATGAAAACAAGATGACTAGAGAAAGTCACAGGGCTGCTCTCATATCAGTGTCTTTTATGGGTGTATGAAGAAAGCGGTAGTATTTACGCTCATGTGATGTCTCTGCTGCAAAAGGTCACTGACATTTCTAGTGAAATTAGAAGGAGCTGGCCCCCAAATGCAAATGAGTCCCTTCTGCAGTCAGTAGCTGGCAGTGAATAAGCATCCCTGAGCAGTTCAGCTCTCAAGCAAGTGTCACACCAGCCCAGCTTCAGGATACCTCGAGCTGTTAGTTATTTCTGAGGCATGTAGTTAAGACTTTGAGTTTTTGCTTAACACCGAGCTATGGGGTGTGATTTTTCAGAAGTACCAGTGTGGAATTAAGGGTCTGAGTTTTCCCAGTGTAGATGAGGTTCCTGCCTTATGAAAAAGATTCTCACTTTGGGTTTCTGAGGCTTAGTTAGCAACAGGGTGCTAATTACTGGGTGGGGTCAGAGGATTTGGGGTTTGTATTAGCAAAAAAGATAGGTATTTAGTGCACTACGTGCCCAGACATGACCAGCTCAAACCTTGGAGCGTTGCAGCTGTGGCATGGTGCTGGACAGATGTTGTGATGTTCTGCTTTGCTGTTCAGTGCTGGGCTGATACAGCGATGCAGTACTCGAGATGAGTCCTCCACGCATGCTACGAGGACGTGCCTGTTCACTTTAGCTCAGCCTAGCAGTGTGCTCGGGGTCCCAGCAATTACACGATCGTAGATGTTGCTTAATTCTGTCCTGAACTGCTTTCCTCCCTGCTCATAGCTGTAAGTAGCTCTCTGTCAGCGTGCGAGATATTAACACGAGCAGGGATCGTGTTTGTTTCGATCCAGGGTCACTGAAGGACTCTCAGGGATTAGGCTAGTGGAAACTGCTCTTTTCTCACTGCTTGAGGTCCGTAGTCGGTGTCTGGACATATTGCCCATGGCTGTCGAGTCAATGCATTACTTAATCTGTGTTGCAATATTGAACTTTCTGTAGCAACAGTCTGTCTAGGCGCTGTGTTTTTCAGGGCACGGTTGCCTTGATTCGTTGATGGCACCATTATGTCTAGAGAGATTTTTGCTTTCAGTCTCTTTCCCTTGAAACCCCCGTTGCTCCACTCCAGCACTGTTTACAAGTTCGTTTGCATCTTTCAGCTGACTCCCTAGGAAAAGCAGCGCGTGAGCGTTTCATGCTTGAGTTTCATGTAGACTGGAAAGGCGTTGCAAGCCCTCACTGCAGATACGGGTGCATCTGATTTCTTCACTGACTCAAGATGCAACTGCTATAAACTGAATTCAGGATTTTAAAGCTATACTGTGCTTGTCTTGCTGCTCACATCCTCATCCCTAAGAGTATTTGCAATGAGTAACCTCACCCACAGCTTTGGAGGCTCCTCACTACAGAAGTAGAAAGCATTTGCAAAACCAACAGCAGAAAAACTTTGGTGGTAAAGCAAGCAGGTGTGACCCAGATGTGTCCAGAGCAGATGCACTGAGTAAAGAGGTTTCCGTATCGCTATTCCTTGGCAATAATTGCGGTTTGAAGCAAAGGAAAAAATTCTCATGAGCAGCTCACACTAAAGATCTCATCTATGAACCTGGAAAACCAACTCTTCTATGTTTTTGACAGAGTAAAGCAAATGCTAGTCAACGTTTCAAGCTCTGCTAGTTGAAATGTGCTAAAAGTTCTGCTAAGAAATGTACTTTAAAGGCCTCTAGGGGATTGTTGTCTGGGTGCAGTGAGATACCTAGCTGGTAGAGCAACTAGGAATTTAGCACAGAAGCATGCAATTGTATTTTAATCGGCTGGGTAGTTGACTCTTCCCCTTGCTTTGCGGAACAGAGTTAGCGGTTCCCAGTATTATCATTTAGGCCATTCTTATTTTCACTTAAGGTGAAGCGATCACGATGCTTTGAAATGGGGCAGACTGAAAACAAAAAAGCAAAACTTTCTACATGCAGTGATTATGCAAACACCATCTGGCCCTTAGGGCCAGCCTTTTAGTCACTGCCGGTGGCAAACGCAATCGGCAGGAGCCAAGCGTTGGGAATGCTCTGGTTTTGATAATGTGGCTTCAAAAAGGCTTTCTGACTATACAAAGTGTAAAACAATGCTCTGACAGCCGAAAATATGCTGTGATTTATATGCTTTCTTTGGAAGCTGGTTTAGGTGTGCTGTAGCCAACCCTGTATCACCCTCTTAAGTCACACTAAAGAGGCTGAAATGCTTTTGGCTCCCATTCCTAAAGAGGTTTCTTCACAGCTCTGTGCTACACCAAGGCTCACCAACGAGCTAGTCAGCATTTTTCTTGTTTGCTCAGCATCAGCTGAATGCTGCTTCCCAATTCTGTGAGGCTTGCCTAGAGAACAGTCATACAAAGAGGATCGCTTATCTTCCTGCACTTGAACAGAAGGTATTTAATTTTTAAGTAAATATTTTTACCGTAACCTCAGGCTTCCTCCCCCCCCCTGAGCTTGACGGTTGCAAATACTTGCCTTGTGCAGACACTGGAATGAAACCGAATCCAATACAGAAAAACCTGAGGGGTGGTTAGCACATCTGCCACCACAGGCTGGGGGGATTAATTCCCATAGCCTTACAGGGCACCCGTGCTGCTTATCGTTTTGATTTTTGACGTTGCAGAAAGTGGGCTGAAGGGGGAGACTTCACCCTGGACTGCTCGGCTTCAGTGCAGGCAAAAGCCTAGAAGGAGATAAATCAGCCTTGAATTCTGGTCCGAAGGTCAACAAGTAAGAGTGACGCTGGAGCAGATGGCCTGAGTTCCTCAGTGTGGGATATCTTGTCCTCAAACATCAGATGAGCTCATCTAAGCCTCCAGATTACCATCTCTGCAGTGACACCAGGGGTAATCGGAACAGCTTCAGACCGCGCTGCCTTCAGTTTGGCCTGCAGAGTAGTAACGGAAGGTCTGTGTGTGTGGTGTGTGTATATAAAAGTCATAAAAGGTTAAATTACAGTGACTCCTGCTTCCAGGCTTATTCACACATGTGTGGGATCAGATGTCTGGTCTCTCTGTGCCACCTCCCCGCTGACTGTAACTGCGGCGTTGGGTCAGCGCCGGTTCTGGGGGAAAACACCCTCCGTGGCAGCTCGAGGGATTGCTCATCTGGTTATTTGAGCTTGATCCTGCTGGGGCAGGATACCCGGCTGAAAGTGTCGCTGCAGACCGGCTGAAAACAATGAAACAAGGGTAAACTGCTGTTTGCTTTAACAGTGGTTGCAAGGCTATTTTTAGCTACTTTGAAATGCGATTTGAATGCACATAGGTATAATAGCTGCAGTCAGTGCAATGAACAAACCCTGTTTCTTTTTCCATAACACAAAAAAAGGTAGCTGAGGGGCATATTGTCCTGGGAAGGTTCGTAATGGCTGTGTTACCCCGATTATTTACCAGTTCCCTGTCTTCTCAAGAAGCCTTGAGCAAGCTATGCTGAGCGATACAATGAATATATTGTAGCTTGTGGTTCTGATGTAATTCCCACCAAACACTCTTTCCACAATGAAAACTTGAAGTTACTTGAAGCCAAACTCCTTGCCCTTTCCATCCCCTGCACGCAGAGCCGTGTGAAGCTCAATAAACATGCCCTGCTGGGCTTGCTCAGCACAACCGCTCTCTGAAGCCCTGCAAAAGCCCTAGTATCTTCTAGTGAATAGAGACTATAATCGGCACAATGCTCCTAATAAAGGCTATTCCTCACAGTATTTGCCTTGAATTCTTATTTTGGGGTTTTCTTGTAATCTTCCTTAAATTCCCTGTGGCTAACTTTCTTGCTAAACATGTGATCCTGTTTTGGGGAGAAGCAAAATAAGTTTGAGATAATAAAAAGCCAAAGCGTTCTGCTCACAGATTGCAAGCAGAGAGGTGGCTCTGAATTTGCCTGAATGCTCGTGTGGCACAGGAAGATATTGGCTGTTTAGGAGTCTCAGGAAAGAGACTTATTCCTGTGATAAGATCACTTTTTAAAGGATGGAATTTTATCTGGGCATTATGGTGACTTGAGAGTGTAGGTATGTCAGGGACTTGTTTCTTTTAATAGCCGTGCATTACTGGTGGGGAAATTCTCTGCTGCTTTCTCCACCAAAACACAGCAGGTCTGCCAGCTGACTCAGACCCCTGCTCTCATCTCCGTTTTCTTTCCTTTTCCCTTATAAAAGAGTTTGGCGTCTCCTTTTACCATTTCCAATGTAGCCTGGTTTTAGGTCTCCCAGGTAGAAAGTGGAGGCTTGCTGTTAAACTGTGCTGAAAAGTTTGAGAGCGGGCAGCGATAAAGGTAGTGTCTAAAGGAGGAGATTGTCTGGACGCAAATACCAGTGACCAAAGGGTCTCCGCTTCAAAACAGGGTGGGTTTTTTGCAGCAATGTTTTTTGGGTGGCTGGCAGTCATTCTCCCTTGCACGGTCTGTTCAAGTTTCGGTGTGCAGGTCCGGGTGCGTCTGCCTGTTCCTCTGCTTACAGCTGAAGATGAGAGCATCGCATCTGCGTGGTATTTAAGTTGGTATTGCATTTCAGGTTTGGGGGTAGATGAATGTGGCTGCTTTAGTCAGAGGATTCTCCCTCTTCGGGCATTTGCTTATCTGTAGGAAACTCAAAAGTCATTTCAAAACCATTCCACCCACTCGGCACCCAAGGAGTTGCACAGCAGAGGGAACTGCCCGGCTGGCTGCAGGCTGCTCGCTCAGCTGTGTCATGGCTGATGCCGTAAAATCTGCTGATCTCACGATGAAGTAACTTTTGCACACGAGGCCGATAAATTAATGTGACCTTGTGGTGCAGCTGGAAGAGCCTTTGTACGCTCAGTAAAGAAGGGAATGAAAGGCTGTACCATGTTAAAACTTCCCCTGCCTCCTTTAAATGTCTTGAGTGCTGATGCTCACAGCGTTTCCCAGCTCAGATCTCGGGAGCTATGGGAAATTCTCAGGAAGCTTTGTGATATTCAGCCTAAACTTCCCTTTCTTTTATCTCGTTCTATAACTTAATACTCCTGTGCCACGACACAGCCCAGCTTCCTGCTTAGTCTTTATACCCTCCCGTTGAATGTGGAGCTACTATCAAGCCCTCCCAGACAAGGACAAACTCCACAGTGGTCTAGCCAGGATATACATATTTAGTTCTCAGTCTGACCACTAAAATCAGTAAGTCAGGCCATAATTGAAGACACAAGCCTGAGTTGGAATTGTGTTTATAGCCAGGGCAATCTCTGGACTCAAGGACCTGAAAACTTAGCCCTAATCGCTTCCGAAACGATTGCATATGAAACCATAATTGAAGACACAAGCCTGAGTTGGAATTGTGTTTATAGCCCTAATCGCTTCCGAAACGATTACATATGAAAATAACAACTTAATAGCAAAACCGTGAAGAAGAAATCATTCTTCTTATCGCTTTTTAGCGGGATGATTGGGGTTTGGTGTGCTGGTATCGTGGGTTTGCTGCTGGAAGGCTAGAGCAAAGCTGTGTGCTTCCCTTGCAGGAGCTGCAAGGACAGATCTATGTTGTCTTAGTTTCGCTATTATTAAGACATACACTAACCCAGAGAGTTTTTTAAAACATCAGCGTTACTCCTCATAGTCCCTTTTTGGAAAGAAAGCATGGGTGCCTTTTTGCCTGTGACGCTGCCTGCACCTTGAGCATTGCTTAAGCAAAGTACAAATATTCCGGGACTTGACAGTGGGCAATTTTCAACAAGCCAGACTACAAAACCAGCCTTCATTTCAGTGCTCTGTGTGAAGTACTGGTTCTTCCATCCCTTTTCTTTGGGTAAGATCACAAAATCTGTTAGCTTGCATTTCATGAAGATGTTTGAAGAGCATGTATTTACTTAAAAGATCATAAATGTCCTCAAGTTTAAAAAATCTTCACAGAAGTGATTAACATTTTGCTGAGACAGTTGTAGAGCAGCAGATTTTAAATGGTCCTTGAAGTACAGGCATTTACAACCTGATTTTGAAGAGCAGGGAGGAAGTTCTCCTTTCCACCTGTCTGAAGAGAAGGCATTCATGCCGGGGAGGAGGTCCAGGGTGTTGGGGGGGGGTCATGAGTTCTCGCAATGGTTTCCGCAAGCAGAGGGGTGGCATTTATACGGCTTAGTCATCTCAGGCTCTGAGAAGTAGGAGAGGAAACTGCAGGTGACTGGAAAGGAGCAGATTCAAAGCGAGAGCCTGTAATGCTGCACCGGGGAGGGTGAGAGGTTTTGGGGTGCAGCACCGGCTCCTGCCAGAGCGAGATGCAGTTTTCCCTCTGCAGAAGTGGTGGTTGGTGACTTCTGCAGCAGCGCTGGAGCTGCTCGTGCACAGATTACACCTGCCCCGGCGATTGAAACTGGTGCTGGAGCTTGTTCTGCTTTTCTGCTCGTCCTTCCTTCCTAAATAACTGCTGCTAATGCTGGCCGAGAGCTCTGAGTTTCACAGCTGCTCTGAAGCATGTGGAGAAAGAGTACCTACCATGAAATTTTGTGGCCTAATTCTCGTAGCAGCGCTCCTGCCGGAAGCTGTGAGCGCTCGCTGCTTGCATGCAGTGATCTGGTTTTCCCCTTTGTACTTTATCTGTGACTGCACTGACCAGAAATGCAGGAAGGATGAGGACGGAGCAGGACTTTGCAGTGCAAGTTCTGATTTATTTACTACCCTCAACCCATAACAGCCCTTAAGCACCTTGACTAAAGCCCAGCTTTGGTTCCTGGTTTAAATTATATGGTGGAGCGTTTATTATGTATCTGGCCATCTGCATTGTACCGTGGACTAATACACGAGCCCAGTGGTGGCTCCAGACCTTCAAGAGGGTAGCCAGATCCCTCCAGGGAACCTGCTGCTCGGCCTCCTGCAGGCAGGCCGGCGCGGTCGCTGTTGCAGCTGGTTCTCCCGTGCACCACGACTGCGTCTGCAGCTCCCACACATGCAAGCCAAGGAGAAACCTGAAAGCGCATCTGGCTTTGCATTTCAAACCCAGTGCCTTGCTGGTTGTGTTGCAGCCTCTGGGTGATGGCTCCAGGTAACAACTGATGTAAATACCTTTGCACTCTGCTCTTTTTTTCTTTTCTTTTCTTTTCTTTTTTTTTTTTTTTAAATGCGTGGTCTAAAAATAAGGTTGGAATGTGCTGCAGTGACTCAGGGTACATGATCTGCAGCACCGGGGTGGTGATTGTGTGTAATTGCTGTGGCAGTCCTGCCAGAGGTCTCCACCCAGCTGGCACCAAAGCTGCTGCAGATAAATTGGAGAGAAGGGGGAGTTTAAAGCCAGACCTAATAACGATAGCGTGAGTTAACTTGAGTGGGGGTTTCAGGCTACCCTGGAAACAAGGTCTCTTGAATGTTCTGCAGCTTAGCTGGCAGGTGTGTCCTGCAGGATTTCACGCTCTCTCAGCCAGGTAATCGTTTCCTTTAATGGGAAGGAAATGGAGCTACACGTCTCTAGGGATGCTCTCTCCTTCCAAAATCCTTGGCCGGTTTGAAATTAGAGCAGTTGAAGAGACAAAATACTTCAGCAATTAATGAATCTTCTGGTAAAGACAGAACTGCATCAGAGAGACGTGCCCCGTCTCCTACATCTGTACTACACGCAGGTTGCTGCTAACGTGTGACACGGATATCCAGGAAGAGTGGCGAGCAGCCGTGCCATCCTTCTCTTCAAATGGCCGTGCTGCTTATAAAGCCTCCTCCGAAATTTGGGCAGAAACTCGTCAGGGCACCAGGGCCGTACTCCGTGTCACCGTGCACCTCGGCTGGGTGGCTGCTGAGCCCACCGCCGCGCTGCTCTGCGTGGCTTCATGCTGCAAGCCCCATTTTTGCTGGAGACGTACCTTGCCATAGGAGTGCTCCCTTCCCTTGAGGAAACCCCGGCGACTCCGCTCGGAGCTCAGGGGTTTCTGTGCCGCAACGCAAATAGAAAAGCGAACATGTTTCCTTCCCAC